TCAGAATAATCCAACCGCTAGGTCGCATAATTCAATGTCGCCTCGAAGGTGCCTGGTTGTCTTATGCTTACGTGCATTCTAACTCGGTTAATGTTTGGTGTAAACATTTGAAAGGTATTAGTCCAGACCCACTTCATACATGAGTCTCTATGCATACACTGTATCAAACAAGAGCGAATATCGGAGTTCCAGCCACTTGTAGGATGAAGATGGAAGGGGTCTAGTCCAGACCATTAGTTTTTTACTAATAACTTTCGAAATCGCAACTTGGTATCTCAGGCCTGCATAGTCAACGGTATTGTTTTGCCCAAAGTCGTTAATTAGTTAAAATATTTCCTAATTGCCATACACTTTGGTGCTGCTGTCATCCTTGACTATTGTGTCCCTTATAACATTTCCAGCACTCACGTTCCTGAACGTGTAGCTCCAATTGTCGACTAGTCACTTTTTCCTTAGTCCGTTGTTTTTGAAACTAGGCTCCGGCGGCAACAGGATTGATTCAATGATACTAGTAGTTTTCCTGTCTGGACTCGGAAGAAAATTACACGTCACGGGAACCGAACGGTAGCATGCGGCAGATCTGTCTCGTACTTGTGGAATCCTACGTAAGGATTGGTCATTCGCTCAATGGACACTTTTATGAGAATAAATTTGGGAACAAATGCCTGCTCTGCGGTATGCAAAGTTTCGGCATATCAAGGAACACCAACCCAAAACCAAAAGGGCTATAATCGATAAATATAGGCCTAGCCCAGCAAACTGCAAACGAGCGGGCTCTTTAAGTGAGTCGAATTTAACGTGTTATGTCACCAACCTTTAAGTAAACAACGAAAGAAGCTTCAAATATGCATAATCTTCATCTGTCATTGAGTTGTCAGTTATAGAGTCCTTTATTCAATGGGTTCTTACCACAAAAGAGGGCGATGCTCCTTACCACTGGCAGGAGTTTCTGGTTGTTTTATTTACAGCAAACAAAGTTAGCTCCTCTTAATCAGACAGTACACGTAGGACATTAACTATAAAACGCCAACTCAGTAGGTGGCTTATGACACCTACTTTCGGAAACTTCTGTTATTCGTTTTACGCGTTTTCCATTTATAATTTCTTCTAAATTGACGTGGAGGGACAAGACTCATCTTCGTTACCAAATTTTTGAACACAGTGTAAACGTTTTAGCAGCAAAATGTGAATGAAGGTAATAAATTAGGAAAGGAAGTTGATGCTTACAGAGGTGAAGAGGAAGTGATCCATTAAGTCCTTCGTTGGATCGACGCGACTTTCCGCTGTTTGTTTCAGCCTTGACCATCTTTGAGTCGCTTGGTGCAATGGCCTTCACTGGTTCAGCGGAAGGTAAAGTAACAGGTACATCCCATGCAACGGGTGTGGATTGCATAAGGCCCTCTCCGTTTTTATTGTCCTCCCCCTGTCCTTCCGTCAAGGACATCATGGAAGTCTGGAAATCGCACTGTGGCATGGCTGCTTCTGAATCAGCAGACAGGAAAGGATCCAACCCTGTCAACAGATCGCTAGACTTCAAGCCAGATATATCATCTGAACTATCAGTGTCACCACAGACATAATTTTGCAGTTCCAATGACTCCCAAATATCAGAGTCTAAATCGGTAGCGTCGCCACCGGCCACTGGCTGCTGGGACCCAGCCGTGTTCAGATCGCTGAGATTGGAATTCCAAATGGCTAGTGACACTACTGGATCAGCTAGCTTCAGTGGAGAAGAGTTTAAAAAGCTGGAGGACGTGGCTGAATCGATCCCACTTGTACTAGTAACAGGGGAGAGCAATGGCAAAGTGCCGTCAGAACTGCAGGTTGTTGGAAAAGTATAGTCCATGATTGGGAAGGACGGAACACTGGATGCCTTTGGGTGTTTAAGTAGGTCATCAGACGTGAGTTCGTCGGATGGAGGCGTAAAGCACATCATGCTGCTGACATTCCTTGGGTTCTCTGGACATTTGTTATTGATGTTTTCGCTCGGAGTAGAAGAGATGACACTGGTTGCGGCCGTCGTAGCAGTCGTGTTGTGCCTAGGATCAGCCGGAGCAACGCTACCACCGTCAGTCTCGTCCATTTCTAAAGCATCCTCGACAATTGAAGCCACCGCCTGCTCCACCTCGACATCGTTCTCGCCCGATAGCCTACTGCCGTTATTATTGCTGAATCTTACGAGTACGGGCATGTTAGAAAGGGGCGAACGTGCGTCTTCAATGCTAAAACTCTTCGAGTTTTGAAATGCACAACTTGAATCAAACTTGATTTCTGATGAGCTAGCCTCGGTCCCACTAAACACATTGGAATCAACGGAATAGGTTGAGGACGAAGAGGCCGAGAGCAAGGTGAAAAAATCAGGTGATGGAGTCTCGAGCATGTGAGACTGACCATCGGACGCCTCTGATTTTCCATGACTAGAGTAGGGTTCTGGATCCCGGAGCGCGGGTTCGTACTCCATCGTGCTCTTTGCATAACAACTGCTCTTCATGGTATCTTGCCCATGAGTTTCACACGGTGACAACCGTACTTCATCCGCCGAGGATGGAAAATCATGCTGTTTTGTCGCTCCAATATCAAAATTATTGTAGTTTTGTGCAGGTTTCAGGTTAGTTTTCAACTCCGACATTCCATCAACGAAGTCTAAGTCACACTTATTAAGGAATTCGGGATTATCTGGGAAGAAATCGTAAAAATCGAAAAAGCCACGGTCCTTGGGGTTACACTCGTTCGTAGCTGTCAATGCATTATCCGCACATAAGTTTGTGTAAAATGAGTTTGAACAATTTGACGTAGATTGATGAACCACCTCTGGCGTCGTGCAGGCGTTCTGGCGGTCATTGGTCTCTGTTGTTTCATGACTGCTCAAGTGTGTAGTTTCCATACCCAGATCTTTTGACAGAGATGAAAAGCACTCATGTAGCATTGCCTCAAGGTCTGGGTTGACGTCTTTGCACTTTTTTGCTTTCAGCGTTTGGAATTTATGTGTGGGCTTCTTCGATATATCCAGAGCGTCTTGTGAAACAGACCCAATTGAGAGGCACTTGCTATCGGGGGATTCTTCCAAAGTGTGCTTGCTTCCTGGATTTAAATTTAAGGATACACTCCCAAGATTGTGTCTCGAGATGGAAACAGAACCTGCGGAATTAGCACGTGACTGTTTGCAACCGCTAATGTCAGTAGTGCTCGATTCTTGCTGTGCCAGCTCCAAGTTGTCGTGTTGTCGACCTAGATAAAAAAGTGAGAAAAATGCAAACTAGCCGTACGGCGATGTTCAGATATTCCTTTGCGAAGTATAACAGTCTGACAGAGAGTACAGAAAACAAGATGTGATGACGCGTCGAAGAATGAAGGTAGTTTCTTTTGTTTCCAGCTGTCTACAAAGGTTCATGAGGTGTTAGCAAGCGCCTACCGTCAATTCCCGATATTTTATCCAATGAGTTTATTTCTAAACGTATATTCGTAAACAGATGAATTTCAAATACCACAAGCTACTGCTGCTTCACTAATCTCAAAAGTACAGTAAAGAACCTCCCACGGATTGACTTGTTTGTTCATGGGATTCCTTGGGAGAAGCAGCCAGCCTTTTATTCACCAACACTCCGTACATAGGATTTTGTGTACAGCTGCAGAAGAAAAATTGTAGCATACATAGCTATCATGTAAATTTAAATCAGGCAAGATGTTTCACAAGATTGAAGATATAATAGAATATTGTTCTTCTAAAATTTTTTATTGATTGAGTATTTTTGTTTGATTGGTATTGGTATTTGACGTTGAAATTTATATTTTCTAGATCATACTATAGGGACTTTAATGATATGTGCGATGTTGATCCATCTCTTGCCAACATCGACTAACATGGTGAAGAATGTAGCATTTCGAAGTTATTCCAAAGCATACTTGACATCTTATGCACGTATGCTCAGGACTAGCAGCCTGAAGGCGATGGGGTACTGTTAAGCTAAGAATCCATTTAGTTCGTTTTGAGGCTCAAATCTTTACCTTTAACGAGAGCACACAAAAAATCGTAGAGTTTTTGACGTTTCAAACCATGGCTAGGCTGGAATTTACCGAGCCTCAGAACAGCAAATGTAAAATTCTAATAAGTTACAATTGAAATGACGATGGACAAATTTTCTCATTCAGTGCAGGTGAACGTAAAATTGAGTTCGAACATACAAAACGTGTTCCGGGAAATCGCATATATTTATAAGGATCGACTGGCAGGTTAACTAATAAACCTATAAATAATTACACCCAAGATCTTTTAGTCATGGCGAAAACCGTTGTAAATTGTCTCAGTCTACGTTGCTTCAATTATAAAGAAAGTGGTTCTACAAATCGCTCACTGATTTATTTTAAAACGGTAAGCGGCAGATAAAATTTGAACACTAATGATAGTCAACAACCTCCGTCAAGATGTTAATGATTGTTCGTCTTTTTAATTTGACGCATTTCTTAGAGCATTTTTTGTTAAACATTATTATTGAAAAATATAGGCGAAAATCATTCCTTGCGCGTTCCATTTAGTTAAAAGCATGCACTTCATCACCCGTGTTTAGTTTAATCCAATATTTACGCCTAAATATACATAAAAGTGTAAATTAATTTTATTCTCAAAGAAAAGGAAAACAAGTGCACAGGCCTACAAATCAAAATTCGAGCAACATGTTCATTTGATCAAAACACTGCAGACCTCTGCGCACACTGAGCGTTATATCTGCAAATTCCTGGAAACCTCTAAGCAGTACCTTTTGATATGCGCATGAAAACGAAACAATCCTGATTCCTTAAACTACGGGCATTTACGTGGATATGCGCAAATATATATGCTAGTTTGACAAATATTTTTTATACGACCACAGCGAAAATACATTATTGAATATAACATAAAGAAAATGCTTGCATTGAGAGAAGGCACGGATTGCGATGGTAAAAAACTCTCCCGTATTCAAAAAGCCTTAACATTTAGCTGAAGCGCTTCGACTACCAAGATTTATTTCATATTTCTTTAAATTTTCATCATGAGCACCACAAAAATTCCAAAAATTTGATAAAATTCTGCCCATCTTATGCTAAATTACGCTGGGTAGTAATAGCGCATGGGCTACACGCAAACATTAATATATACGTGTAAATATTTATCAAAAATCTTTTTATAGATGTCAATAAAAAATTTAAGCTTTCTAGTGAGATATGTTCGGTTATGAAGAAAGTTATAAATAAAATTAAAAAATGCTTACAGAAATATGAAACTATATCACGGAATGTCACTCAAGAAACATGCACATCTTGATTAACAAATCCATTTTTGGCTGTGGTTCGTTTGATGCGAGTGATTCATTATAACAAAATATAAAATTATTCGACTCGGTGTAAAGTTAGAAGGTACGTTGAAACAGCACTTATCCAGATCGTCTTCTCTTATATTATTAATGCAAATTCTTATGCTAACAGGAAGAATAATATTACAGTCTAGCTAAATTGATGTTAGGTTTAGTAACTTTTCCCAGACTGAACTTGCTTCAAATACGGACACTACCATGCTCACTGTTGCAAATGTGTGATAAATCTGCTGTCTAGGTGATTAAAAGAGACCTTAGTGCTTAGAGAGTTAAACTTCTCCAAACCAGCCTACATTGTAATTTATCTGCCACTCCTGTAGACATCGGGGCTCCTATTAAGTGAGACAATTATGATGCCCTATCGAACTTGCGGCAATGGGGAGGATTTTTTTTCATTGGACAAGTATTCTCCGAAGGCAGGTAACAAGGGTTTCCTTGTAATGTGAAAGGGGTATGAGGTGGTGGGGCGACTACGTACTTCAAGTGCACTCTGAGCAGGCTCGGTTAAGCCGAATGTGTAGACGTAGTTTTTTACTTGCTGTCTGACTACCTTCTCAAACGGCCTGGAGAGTAAAGTCCTCACGGCACTAGGAGGAGGCTGGCTACTGTAAACATTCGGCTCCACCGAGCCTGCTCAGCGTGCACTTGATACACGTAGTCGCCGCTTACCCTCATCCTACAACCCCACCCCCACTATTAGAACACATTCAGTGTGATCTGAACACGGGTTTTTCGCCCTAGGCATACGCCGGAAAAAGTTGCCAAAGCAAGACATTGATCCAGGCGCCGTAGTTTTTTTTGAAGGGGGGGAGGAGCCAACGTAGGAGGCGTAGGCTTTTTCTTGGGTGGGGGGGGCTTGTGTGTGTATTCGTACATCGATTTCGATGACGGCTTGTAACCTCCCCCAGTCGACGGACGAAATACCGCCCATATACGCAATCACGGCGCACTAGTATGAAAGGCTACATGGGGCCTATTTGCCTCTATCCTTTGGTCCGACTGGAACCATTGTATCCTTTGGTACCGGAAAATTGCTATTAGGGCACATTCAAAAATATTGGGCATCATTTTTAAGCAAATAAAAGAGGTTCCAAAATCCCAG